TCTAATGTTCTCTGATCCATTTCATCATACAGCATTTATGTCATTCAATGTTTGAAGCTCATATGAAAACATGAAAATGTTACTGTTCCAGTTCCTTTTGAAGAGTGAAATTATTTTGTTCTTGGAGGTTCCATCCAATATAGTCATTATGGTTACAAAATCGGCCTGATTTTAATTAATACCTATCAAGTTATAGATGTTATACACGCGTGCATGCACACACACACACACACAAAACATCCGTAATTTGTGAATTCTGTTCGGACGATAAAGAAATATCTAATTTGATAAGAATCACTCTATAAATTATCAAAATGTGGAACAAACTTCCATATACTACCATTTCAGAAACATTGCGATATTGACCGCTGGAATAATGTTAACAATATGCAACCAACCCAATGTAATACAATACAATTTTCACCGCCTGTACATACCACACTGTTGACGAATCTCTCAGGTGTGTTAGAGCGATAATCACATCGCGACATGATTAACAAACCTACAGCTCAGCAGATTTTTATAACTTACCTTTTTAATAAGAAAAACAAGATTTATGGATGTCTACTTCTTTATTGTGAATAACACGAAGTTTCGGAGCATATGCTTGCTCCTTCATCAGTGAAAATCAGGTCACAGTAATGCATTCCACTTCTTAATGCCCATCAAGATTTAACTTACTTCAGAGACTTCTTTAAGAGGCATTAGGCCAGTAGGCAGTAGGCCTTGTTAATTGGTGACTCTTAACTGCCTTGACTCACTCATCAATCAACAAGGGATTAGGTCCTGGGGCGTGCAAAGAACAATAATTTACCATCGCCCACCAGTTATCTCCCTTGTGGACATTTTCCAAAATTGTACATTTTGGAAATCTCATATTTCCAAAATTGGAAACATTGTTCTTGAATATGTCATGCTTTTTGCATATTTCATGCAATTCGAACAGCAACTGTTTGACTGCATTGTTATTCCTTTTAACACATCCTTGCACTTTGCTATTGCTAGAAGACTCTGAAAATTTACATAGGTAAATAGGTAAATACAGTTTTAGCACACAGCAAATGCTTATATGTATTTCTTTTACTGCAACAATGAAGTTCTGTCCGTATTCTCAAAGTATAGTGTCGGCCCATAGGTTTTCACATGCAATTAAAATTGCATGCAGTACAGCAATTAATACTCCTTGTTGTAACCCGTGTTGGGTGGTATAAACCTACACATGTCATTTGTCATCATTCACTTGATGGTCAGTTAATGAATTTATAACAGGTATAATTAGTGGTAACACCACTTAGATAACCGACAAAGGTTCCCATTTGGCATTTCTTGTGTCTGGAGTAAATACTCAACAGTATAAAGCATCGATCAAAGGGATTAACCCATACTTTTATCTTGCACAGCGGATTTGTCTAAAGGTAGTGTTTATGTATGTACATTTACTAATCAATACTAAATACACTCTGTCGTGTCTGTGTCTGCGTAAAACAACTTCCATCTTTCAAAGGATTAACCGCCAAGACATTGATTCTCATTATTGGCTAACTAAATTACTTTTTTGTAAAGAATGGCGGAGATTATGCAATTAGTTCCCAGGTATGCTATCTTGGGTGACCAATGCGACTATATACCAATGTGAAATACCTGAAACGATATATCACTTTTCGTGAACATGTATTAGACTGTTAAAAGACACATCATTTGGAACAGCTGCAGGTGAATGACATACGGCTCGTTTTTGTGGATATTGATCGATACATTCCTCGAACAAAGTAATAGCCTGACATCATTATAACTACCTGTTTTAGTTTTAATAATTGCATTTTGTTTTTTATTCATTTTGTCGCAGCATTCCACAGAATCCATGATTTCGTCGTGAAGTAATGAGACAGACAACATACACTAGGGCGTGTGTGCGAATTATGATTTACAATGTCTAGATATTCAAGTTATAAGTAAAGGCAGATCGCCTGATAATAAACTAATTAGGATTATAAGACCAAATAGAAAGACGCACGTTCACTAGTATCTACATACTGGTGAGTGGACATTAACCATGGGAATGTAGCAAGTTATTTATTGCGCAGTATGTCACTTCGACCCCCACCTCGCTTCCGAGGAAGAAATCGTTATGTTATAAGTTGTGTCATGCCAAATCCTGTTGGCCCATGATTCCAATACATATTTAACTACGCATAAAAAGTAGTTTTGCTTTTCTAACTTGATGAAAACAAACCATAATCTCATTAATTCTTTAACAGACTTTAGCCCGTCATGTTACGATTATTAAAAATGGCAGCCCACTGTCGCGAACATCCGCGAGTCTGAGAATAAATGCTATTTAGGTTTTGTTTTCACCCCGAGTTAGTCTAAAATCAAACTTCTCTTTTCTACTGAATAGTACAATATGTATTTGATTGATGTCCAATAGGATTTGCGTGACATATCTTATATCATAACAATTTCTCTCGAGGAAGCGAGGTGGGTGTCAATATAACACTACTTACAATATTATTGTCACTTCCACCACGACCTCGCTTCCGAGAAAGAAATCTTTATGCTTCAAGTTGTGTCATGGAAAATATGTTTTGTCATCAATCATATATATATTGTACTACAGGTAGTAAGTAGTTTGATTCTTTAACTTCCGCGAAGCAATCTGGACAAATTTAAGATATCGTTCCAAGCTTCCACAACGCTTGTTTCGCACTCACAAACATAACTCATTTACTAAATGATTTAGCACGAACTGCGGGTGCGGTGGAAATTAGTGCATGGTGACACCATCACTCGACCCCCAGGACGGCAACGCAACGATTGACAGCAACGCAACGATTCGTTTTTGCTTTGAGTAAGTTTCGTTGTTCAGACCATCCTTTAATGTTGGAATAAGGGCGAAAAGTAAATATAAAACAACATGAGCGATTCTACCCTCTGTGTATTGTACTTACCATTGAATCAGAGTACCAATTCTTTATTGAATGTTCATTATACTGTGATCTGAGAAACAGCCTTCTCCCACAATACTACATAAATAATCCATGTGAAACACTGACAAAAGAGCGAAGTTTTTTGAATATAGAGTATAAGATTAAATTAGACATTGTACACGTTAGCATACAGCTTAATATTATATATGGCGCTGGATTGTATTTTCATCTTTATAATTGTAAAACGGGTCGGTGGCCCTTGTACGAAATTAACTCTCACTGACTAGATATAAGCTTATGATGATACATATTTAAACTCAACGTGACAAATTCACTTTTCACTCCACAACATTGAACACTTAAAATGTGTTCACTGCAATTTCGAGTAGTCAAGTCGATAATCCTTTCGTTAACCCCTTAAACAATCATTACTAAAACAACACCAAACATCAAAGACTACCGTCAGTCGCCTTAACTACCCCATGAAACACTCATGCCGCCCCATGCCACTATTGCAATTAGCCCATGCAGAACAATAATTTACCATCACCCACCAGTTATCTCCCCTTGCGGATATTTCCAAGATTGGAAATTTTTGAAACATCATCTTTCAAAAATTGGAAAGTCTTGGAAACATCATCTTTCCAAAATTGGAAATGTCTTGGAAACATCATCTTTCCAAGACATTTCCAAGCTTGGAAAGATGGATTTTTTCCAGTGAAATTAGGATGCCGTGACTCACGACAGCTCAGAGGAACCAGGCGCTAGGAATCACTTGGAACAGGTCAACGCTCGGACCATCTACAGGCTGCAGCAACGTTTCCGGGCCACAAACACCACAAATGATCGCCCCCGTACTGGCAGACCAAGGGTTACCACAAGACGACAAGACCGTGATGTTGTGCGACAGCATGTACAGAATCCGAAACAGCACGCCAGACAGTGGGAACACACGGAAGACCAATCAGTACTGATACAGTACGCCGACGTCTTAACAGCGGGAACCCCCATTGCCGTAGGCCTACCGTGGACCTATCCTCACCCCTCGTCATCGGCGTGAACGTCTACATTTTGCCCTACTACACCCAAAATGGCGATACAGGCAATGGAGAACTGTTCTGTTCACTGATCAGAGTCGGTACTGCGTATCAACTGCAGATGATAGAACAAGAATATGACGACGATGTGGCCAGCGTTACTCAGACCAATGTGTGATGGAAAGAGGCTCATGGGGAGGTGCAAGCATCATGGTATGGAGCGAAATAGGCCTGAACCAGAGTGTGGGTCCTGTGATGTTCCAGAACCTTGGTCCTGGGAGAGGAGGCGGCACCACAGCGGTGCGCTACATCGACCAAGCTCTCAGACCCCACGTCATACCACATTTCGCACGTCACCGGAACAACATTTTCCAGCATGATAACGCCCGGGCCCATACTGCCAGAGCTACACGGGATTTCCTACAGCAGAACGGTGTCAACATTATGGAGTGGCCAGCCATTAGTCCTGATTTAAACTCAACTGAACATCTTCGGGATGAAACTCATATGAGACTGAATAATGTCATACCAAGGCCGAACACAGCCGATTTTTGCGCCAGGCTTTTCTCTGAGTGTGGTTCCAGGTGCCCAGGTGGCCTTCCAGGTGGCCTTCATCAATCGATTGGTGCACCCCACACATAGACGCTGTGCTGCAGTTATTGCCGCTCGTGGTGGTAACATTAGATACAGAAGTCAAGGGTCAGAATAGACTGCAAATGTTAACGTAATGTCTTAATGAGTTATTCATTGATGTGTCAAAATATTGTACACAAGAAAACATGTTTGATCTGCTTATTATCTCCATTTCTGTAATGATTTGATTACAGTGCCTATCTAATTTTGAATTCGTACTGACGGTTTTTGCTGCTGAGTATGTTAAGAAACGTGAGTATTGAATACAGAAGATCGTGGACGTCTATTCTGACACTGGTCCCAACAAAACTCGAAAATCATATATGCAACAAAGTTTATTGTGAAACAAAACACACAAAATCAAAACACAGCAAAGATATATATTTTGCCATGTATAATTGCATTATATAAACAATACAGGTTCAACAATCAAAACAATTTACTGAAATGTGATTACAATGGTAGTACAGAATATAATACCAATAGCAGTGAATTGAACTAAAAGCATAATCTTTACATAACCGCTGGACTTTATATAATGTGAAACGAGAGAGACATGCGCTTGTCCTTTTAATATCTCACCTGAAGTAGAACACCATGTTCAGTTACTATACATTGCTCTAAAAGATTCTACAATGCACTTAACACTAAAAACATCAAAATAAATGAACGTCCACACCAGTGCTTAAGTTAACTAGTTTCCCATATGACGTCACAGCTTTTTGGAAATCCCCGAGCAGACGTCAAAATGTCAAGCTCAAGCGAGATGGCGATCGCAGAAAAGAAGGCGAGAACAGTCAACTGGACTCGGAACGAGATGGATTGTTTAGTTGATGAGGTGGAGAAGCATAAGTCTATTCTATTTAGCTCATTTTCATCCGTTGTTACCAACAGCAAGAAGCAACAGATTTGGAAGGACATATCAAACAGGTGAATCTAATTATTCAATTTATTGATCGCGATCAGCTCGTAAATGTAAACAATGCAATGTCAAAGTAGGACTCATTGGCTCTGTTGGTCATTTTAGTCAAAATTATTGTTTTCACAGGCATGTACTAATTGCAATTTCTCCTCTCGAAAAATAATTCAAAATAACTTTATCTGATTATATTTTTAGCAATCCCACAGAAATGGCTAATGTTATTGATCACAATATTTTGATGAGTGAATTTCAGAAAGAAATTATATATTTTATCATGAGCTCTGAGTACTGATATGATTTTATTCAATCTATTCTTTTGATAATGAATTATACTGTTTAACAGTATATTACATGCTACTAAAGTTTTCATAACTGATAAGAAGAGAATAGAATGTCTACAGTGAAGTACACATTGAATGTTGAAATCCTATTGTATTTTTTTCTCAGAGTCAGTGCTTGCGGGTCCTCTATCCGCTCATCAGAGGATGTGAAAAAAAAATGGACCACTCTAAAAGTAAGACTACATAAAATATAATATTCATGTACTAAACAAGAACAGTAAACCTATCTGATATATTATAAAGATGCCTTCAATACTGCGGCTTAAACTTTTGACAAACAAGCTGAAACAAAGAACTAACTTCCAAAAGGATAATTTTATTTATTAAAATAACGTCTTTTGAGAACCTTAAAATCTACTTAAATTGAAAATGTACATATTTAGTTTTACAATAATTCAATTTCAGGCTGATAATTTTCTTCAAAGAAATGAATTTATCAAGGTCAGTGTTATTTGAATGTAAATGATCTTAAAGATGGAAATAATTTGATATAATGTACTTTAATCTGTAACAGGAGTGACACAAGGAGGAAAGCCACTAGCCTAAAGAAGGCTATATTCCAGACAGGCGGAGGGCCCTCACCATCTCCACTGAGTGACTTTGAGTATAAGGTATATTGCATAAATCTATATTTGTATGAGGAAACTTAAGTAATGAAATTATAAAATTATGAATTTAAAAACTTGTTTATTACTGGATGTTGTTGATATGAGAATGTATAAATCAATGATATTTTCAGTATCATGGTACAGTCACCTTTTTGTACTGTATACCTGCACATGTCTCAAGTTAAATTTTTGCATTGTCACACCTGTAACAATGTGTCTATGTATAATGAAATTTATGCTTTTGTTTAATAACTGAAAAGTTCATTTAATTTTTTACAGGTGGTGTCGCTCATTCCATCCGCACAAATCAATGGTTGCACAGGGGGGCTGGATAGTGAAGACTTGTCAGGTATTCATCCGTTATCATAAAACACTTATGATATACAAGTGATCACCAAGTAATGTGTAAAATTAATGTTTTGTATAAGTGACAGTATGGGGGCCTATAGCATTAAATGCATAATGATAAGTTGTGCCCTAAAATATTTGCAAACCAGTAACTTACCTCTTTGTTTTAAGTGTCATGTACTTTTTAATATTCCAAATAAATTTATACATTTTGTTAAAGAATATACTTACAAAGGTATTCTAACATATAAAACATTAATGTCCAGCCTTCTCAGGATTGGGCAGTGTGTTGTTTGATGCAGCTGTTCCCTCGACTTCAACTAGCAGCAACAATTTGAATGTCGACTCTGCCCGGACATCACCTATCCTCCTTTCGCCCTGCACTCCACCTCGACAAGCAGCACCACCAACACCGCATGATCCACCAGCATCATTCCAATTGTCACCAGACATAGGTAATAATATCACATCGCAAATCATGATAATTATAGATTTGTCTCGTTTAGATTTGGTGTGCAAAATTAGACAATATACCTCAGACTAATATATAGAGAATATTTGGTGTTTTCAGTGTGATATCACTTACTGCATCACGCAATGAGAGATCAGTGAATGTATTACAATGAAAATAAATAGAAAATATTTCCATTCTTGACAAATACAATGTTTATCAGTCTATAAATACTTAACATTTTAATAAATTCCAAGATTTAACTTCCAGATTTCCAGGTTCCAGTTCAATAATATTTTCTCATACTAATGGAAGAATTATGTATACATACTGCATTTATAATCTGATGCAGTCAAAAAAATAATTTAATGTTATTACATTCAAATTCTGCAATATATCCTTGAAAACAATTATATTGTGAATTTTCTTTGTAGTTTCTAGACCTGGGAGTAAGAAACAAAAGACAAAAGTTCATACACATGGTAATTATTAACCTTTGTAATGCCAATGAGTAATATTTCGAATGATTGTATGATAAGTTTTTTCAAAGATGAAATTGTCTCATATGTTAACAATGTGATATACCAGTTCAACTTTACAAGGTACAATGCAATCAATGAGTATTGCAAGTAAGTTCCTTTATAGTAAAAAAATACGAAAGGAAAAACCAAACAATGTTTGTATCTGAAATTGTTGAAAATTATTGTGGATATGACATGATTGTTGTTTGTTTTTTAGAAGACAGTGCAGCCCAGGCAGCTGAAGTGGTCCAGCTTGAGAGGGAGAAGGTGGCCATCTTGCGGGAACGCTTGCAGATTGACAGAGAGCACCTGCAAGTTGAAAAAGAAATACTCAATGAATTGCGGCTGATGAGAAAACAGGCTGATCAGACTGTAACTCCCATATGCATCTCACCGATCATCACATTTGACTCCTGAATGTATATACAATACTTTGCTATTAAGAAATTCTAACAATGAAGTGAAATTAATCCATATTGTCATATGTTGGGGATGTGAGTAGTTCAAGCTTGTTCGAGTTGTCCTGCTAAATTATCAAGTACCATTGGTTGTTAATAATTTGTATGAAATCATTTGTTGTTACAGAAACATATGTACTTTAACTGCAGGCTAGGACTTTAGGAGCTTTCTGAGCCTTACAAATTACATTAATACACTAAGAAAGAGTAATCCCAAATACAACATATGTTACATTACAAATATCATTACCAAAATTTCATGTCTTTTTAAAACTTAGAAAGAGAAATGTACATGATAACAATAATAGTTTAGTTTATGTCATTATTGTCATGAAGGCAATGTCAAGGATGAGTGTCATGAACTTTTCATTTGTAAAAGTTTTAATTTTCTTAGAAACAGATACCTCTCTATGTTCACAACTTTGTACAAAGATGATCAACTAATGGAAAACTGATTAAACTCCAGAAATATCAATCTAATATTATTTTTGCACATAGAAGTTCATTTATGTATGTATATATATTTCTATTTTAACTATACTGTACAGTGTAAAACATCTACAAGTGTACTGTAATAGGTCATATCGGCTAAAATACTGAATAAAACTTCCATGTGTCTGCTGATATAATGCTTTTGTGAAAATGAATCTATTTATTGTACCACCACTTGCATAGGAGTTGATATACATGTCCCTAACACTGTTTTTCACTCAATCCGTCCCATTGTTTATGCCATGCATATCTCAAACATCAACTGTTATTTTACTGAATATTTTACTGAAACATTCCATAGATGGTTCAGTGGTGTTTTTGATGAAATTTATCACCTAAGACCTATTTTCCTTATCTGCAGAATAATGTTATGATTGATTACTAGATTTAAGTTTACCTTGCTCCAATGATTCAGGATATTGGCAATTGACAAACTTGCAATGTATGTGAGGTAAAAATGTATTTTGATTATTCATATGGTGAACTCGTTATGGCATTGAATTCTCTTATCATATTCTGAAATATATCCTTGAAATTAATTATTAAGAAGATTGAAAAATGTATATATTTTGACATTTTAATGATACTAAATTTACTTAAGAAATAATTTTTTGGGATGAAATTGGTTATGAAATTTACACATTCATTTGATGTACATATGAAGTTGAAATTTGAAAAAATGAACCAATTTAATGATGCTTTGCAATGTTCCTATTTACAAATACAACAAGTCCTTATCAAAATACCAGTGTACATTCATAACATAAGATGTATGTACTTAGTGTATTTTCCATTGTTAAATGTATTAAAAGATTATATTTTTATCTAAAAATTGGTTATTTATATCTCTTAATGCTGACATCACAAGGAAAACAAATGAACTGTTGCAAAAACTTACCATATATGTTAGTTGAAAGTGCTTTCTATCAAGCGTTTCCTTGTCTGGTGTCCATCTGTAAGTGGACCGTCATATGGCTGGTCATTGCCATCCTCTGCAGGTAGGGCTGGCAAGGGTGGAAGGCGATGGTTGATACACAGGTTGTGTAGCTGGCACACACCATACACGAGCCGATGACACTTGCAGTCTGGTTTGAAAGGCAGGCAGCCCGTTGCCTTGTGTAGGCATCTAATCATTAAAGAGAACCTACTACATTCATGTTAAAGCTATATCAATTTATCGATACCTCAGTGATTGAAAGTTCCATTTATAGGTTTTGGCGCTATATCTGTAAAGAGATAGTCTCCTTACTCTATCAGACAATAACTATATGGATAATTTTTCAATATTTTCATACTTTTCATGCAAAATGGTTTAATTCTTTGTAAGTAAATGACAGATTCATGCCTTCAGTTTTGATATAAATGAACTTTTAATCTTTGTGTTTAACACCTTGAGATTATATATTTTTAATTATTTATTTTTCTTATTCTGAAATATTAATTTCATTATGATAATCGAACTAACCGAAACCGAGACTTCATTAGGCCAAAAGCTCTTTCCACTGTGTTCCTTGTTTTACAGAGCGCTTGGTTAAATCTCTCCTCTCCCTGTGTCTGGGGGTTGCTCAGGGGTGACTATCCATGGCCCGCAGGCATATCTGAAGGATTTTGTAGGTATACACGCAAATGATTTATAAGAGAAATATGAAGACAATGTTAGTAAATACAACACAAATTTAAACTGGATGTATTCTTAATCTTAGTAAATGAAACTACACTCAAGGACATATATTTTATTTATGAAACTTCACTCATTTGAAGCTATTTTATTACAAAATGATCATCAAATTTACCCTGAATCTCCAAGCAACCATCCATTTCTACCTCCAGACTCTTCAAGGTAGCTTCCAATTGTACTATTATTAAAGATGTAGCTATTATGTGTTGCACCTGGCCATCTGCATACAACATTGGTGAACCTGTAATAACACAACATACATTTCTACCAACATACCAAGAAGAGAAAATCTTGCTGCCGGAGTACAAAACATTTATGTGATGCTAATGCTAAAAATATATATTTCCAGGATATATGCAATATGTATCATAGTTTAAATTTCCTTTCCAATATATATTTTATAATCCATACATGTAAGGAATAGTACACCTCTATCTCTAATTGTGTACTAATTTCTTTATGTTACCAATAATGCATGAACATGTCATTTACATCCTTTGCACTCGGTCAATGACATTACAGTGTACAATTCCAGTTATATTTTTTTTTAGACGTTTTCATTAGAATGAAATAACTGCGACACCTCAAACGGGACTCTCAGACTTTAATTCTAAAAATAGATATTCAAATTAATCACTCAATGTCAAGGTTATAGATTGTGAAATAATCACTTCCGCATTTGACTTGCATCAAAATATTACTGTGTTCTCTGTAAATATTGTACAGTAGAGTTGTATCCATCCAGTTTTACGTTTGCAGGTATGACTTAGAAAGTGTATGAGTATGTATGAGTGTATGAAAGTGTATGAGTGCTTTCATACTGACCTTAGATCTCCGTCGCATATGGCTTGGATGTTTACAGCGTGAAATCCCTTCCGGCAAACATACGCTGCTTCCTCGCATGCTTGTGGACACAGGCCCCCACTGCAGGTCAGAAAATCGATAAACTAGGCCCCTGTTTAGTATCAACACCCCCTACTATCTATATTTAATAGTAGGGGGTGTTGATACTAAACCGGGGACTAGTTTATCGATTTTCTGACCTGCAGTGGGGACCTGTGCTTGTGGACGGACGATTGCAATTAGAGTACCTTCGATGCAGCCAAGCACATTGGGAAAGCCAGCAAGTGAGTGAAACACCTGTTTGACTTCCCGCTGTGAGGTTGCATCTTTAGGAAAACGTATACGCGGTCTAGATGTCTACAGTGGTACCAATTGCACGGGAGACAGTAGGCTGTGAAACCCCGTGCAAATCAGCCAATTCCGACTGGAAACCACCCTTCCCAAGGTATCTAAGGGTTATTAGTACTTGAAGATCGGGGTTTAGGGCTCTTGAACGCTCTAGCTCGGGTCGACATAGCTCTATCACCTCTTGAATCGCTCGCCTTGACAGGCGGTATCGATTAACCAACTCCGCATCGTCGAATAAATCGAGGGGCGCAGTCCTTTTACGATATATCCTTTCGGCATTCTTCTTACAGTCATTCTTTCCCCCAAACATTGCATGAACAAACAAGTACGACGCCATATTGTTTTCGTCTAGGATTTATTTAGGACAAGTCAGACCCTATCCTAGTATTTGTCCTAAGTTAGGATGTCCTAGCGCTAGGATACTTTTAGAGAATAAGGTAGGACACCTGTTCCAGACCCTAGGATCAAAGTTAGGATATCCTAAGGCTAGGATCCTTTCGAGAATAGGGGCCCTGGTTCTGTTGCTTGTTTACCTTGAAGACAGAAAATGGAAGCAGTTCATCGTGATATCCTCAGGAAGAATCACTCTGGACTGGTGAAAGCTAATGTCCTAATGTGCTTAATGAAGGCTGAAATAATCCGAAAACCTCACGCCTCTTGTGACTGGGTTGTCTATCTTGCCTAGACGTGGTCCCCAAGCTTACACTCTCTCCTGCAAAGCTTTGGAGGAATGCAGAGAGATACAAGGTATGAAATTGTTGTGTCGTGACCCTCCTGATCCTACTGACAAGCCAGAGCTACAGGGTCCTCGTTGTCATTTGGACTTGGAAGCTGATGTATGTGGACACCAAGACCTGTGTATGGACCGAACCCTTCATCTGATTACAACCCAAACGAGAACGGTTGAATTCCTTTCAGTCTTGGCCTGTGCAGATGAAATAGACTCCTAGTCAAATGGCCCAGGCAGGATTTGAGTGCTTAATCAGAGGGGACGCTTACAATTGTTTCAATGTGGTCTCGTTCTCAAGAATTGGGAAGTAGATGATGACCCTTGGGTCGAACATGAAAAATGGTCTCCGGACTGTGTGTATTTGGCCTGGTGGGAATACCTCTTAAAGATGTGGTCCGCTTGGGTAGTCATGTGGATTTACATTTGTAATTAAGTGAGTGATATAAAATACTACATATTTTTATTTGTGAATATTGAAAATAAATCAATATTATTTTTGAGAGTATATTTGCATTGGTTGTCCATGTATAGTCTTTTGTTCATGTATAAATAGAGGATTACTCAAATACTAATCTCATTGAGATTCCAACCACAATAGGAGTAAGAATTTGTTGTCTAGGATTTATGGCTAGGTACGTGTTGAAACATTACCAGTTTTGAAGGTTCATCTGAATGTATCAAGACATCGAGGAGATTCGACAAGACAACTTAGAAATGAACAGAGAACATATTCTTGCCATCAATATTATCATCAATAGAAAATTAAAGGGAAGATTACCAGTGAAGTGATTTCAACGACATCATTTCCTGAGGAAAAATGATAGAAATAACTATCCAGCGGTGTTACGAAGATTAGTTGATCCCTTATGGACTACAGATGGTACTTGGAAGAGTCTTTTCACCAGTTACATATCTATTGTAACATTCGTTTGATCATGGAGATGATGCCGATGATCCAAAATGCCTGGTTGTTGGATAAAGCTGGTTTTCATCACTTTAAAATGGACTTGATATTATATGTTGCAAACCAATGGTCAAGTTGATCGCAATTATTCTGTTATAAGAGGTTGTAAAAGAACAGGTATGTTCTCTGTCGATAGAATTCTGGAACTGTATGATCTGGAATTGCTGAAAATTTTGGAAGAACGACAAAGAAAAGAAGAAGAAGGATATTTTTTGTTGTTACAAAGAACCTAAAATTGACTTTGTTACCCCACCCAGCAAATGGTCTAACAGGCTAAGGTTCAAGAAAAGTGGGAGCAACGTATAGAAGAGGCATCTACAGCCGTAAAAACCACTTCCTCCCAGAGTCACATGAAGAAACGGAAGACGAATGTTTAGATAAAAGCAACTAGTAGACAGGTTTGCCATCATTTTGACTCTAACCATCATGTAGTCAATAACATGTCCCGTGTGCTATCAGACTTTTTCCAGGACAATACGTTGGTACAGAGAAGACAGAAACACCAACAACTCTCTCCTCATCATTGCTTGGCCCTCCCCCTTCATCAGCGCTGAGTTGCCAGTAGTTGTCGGCACCAAAAGGTCTCCTCACACCTGCACACCATCTAAACCAGCTGCAACTACATTCATCAGAAAGAGCTATCGAGTCTTTGGAAGATCATTCACCATGATCGTGTCACGGCCAGCCTCCTGTAGGAAACCTAACTTAGTGAAGCAGATTCTAGAAAGGATGAACATTAACCTTATCCTGAACATACAGTACAACCAGAAATTATTGACAATATGAAGATTGTAATTTTAAATGTATTTTTTCACTCCTTACTCACGTATTAAATGTGAATATTAGCAGAACATAACTCCAGATTCAAAGACAGGTGAACAGTTAGTATTTTGTCAAGAAACCATGGGCAGCAATGCAGGCTTCAATGCGGCGGGGCATACTACTGATCGAAGAAGTTAGAAAGTCGTGGTCCATGCTGTCCCAATATCGGACCACCTCTTCTTTCATTTCAGCAATGTTTGTCAGATTTTCCTTATTGACACTTTCCTTCATAAGTCCCTAAACATTTTCTATTGGATTTAGGTCAGGGCTATAGCTTGGCCAATCTAATAATGTCATATTTTGGGTCCGAAACCAGGCCTGTGAATGTTTTGAACGATGTTTTGGGTAGTTGTCCCGCTGGAAAGTCCAAACATTTCCATAGAACATGTGAGCAGATGGAAGTACATGTCCCTCGAGAATATCTGTGTACCGCTCACTGTTCATATTCCCTTCAAATACACAGAGGATGTTGCCCCTAACACAGATATGCCACCCCACACGTTAAGTAAATGATATAAGTAACATCTAAGAACATACTACAGTAATGTGTTAAAGTAACGAGGCATGGTTTATGCTATGTGAGTGTATCATTACACGTGGCGTTTGAATGTACCGTTTAATCAACGTGTGTAAGTAACGCGTAACTCTATGATGAATGTATGACTAAGTAGCATGGCGTGCTTCGGTTGACCGTTCGTTAGTAACGTGACACTTGTATATAGTGTACACAGTACGATGAACGTGCGTGTAAGTAATGTGACACTTGTATACACAGAACGATGTAAGTGTGTAAGTAATGTGACACTTGTATACACAGAACGATGTAAGTGTGTAAGTAATGTGACACTTGTAAAAAGGTATATACAGTACGATGTGTGAGAGTGTAAGTAATGTGACACTTGTATACACAGTATGATGAACGTGCGAGTGAGTAATGTGACACTTGTATACACAGTACGATGAACGTGTGTGTATACTGTACGATGTGTGAGTAACGTGACACTTGTATACACAGTACGATGTAAGTGTGTAAGTAATGTGACACTTGTATATAGTATATACAGTACGATGTGTGAGAGTGTAAGTAATGTGACACTTGTATATAGTATATACAGTACGATGTGTGAGAGTGTAAGTAATGTGACACTTGTATACACAGCACGATGAACGTGCGTGTAAGTAATGTGAAACTTGTATATAGTATATACTGTACGATGTGTGAGAGTGTAAGTAATGTGACACTTGTATACACAGTTCGATGAACGTGATTGTAAGTAATGTGACACTTGTATTCACAGTACGATACTGTACGATGTGTGAGACTTGTATTGACAGTGTAAGTAATGTGACATTTGTATACACAGTACGATGAACGTGCGTGTAAGTAATGTGAAACTTGTATATACATTACGATGTAAGTGTGTAAGTAATGTGACACTTGTATATACAGTACAATGAACGTGTGTGTAAGTAACGTGACACATGTATATACAGTGATGTAAGTAAGTGTGTAAGTAATGTGACACTTGTATACACAGTACGATGAACGTGCGTGTAAGTAACGTGACACTTGTATATACAGTATATACTGTACGATGTGTGAGAGTGTGAAGTGTGTGTGACACTTGTATACACAGTACGATGAACGTGCGTGTAAGTAACGTGACACTTGTATATAGTATATACTGTACGATGAACGTGTGATGTAAGTGTAAGTAATGTGACACTTGTATACACAGTACGATGAACGTAGCGTGTAAGTAACATGTGACACTTGTATAATAGTATATACTGTACGATGTGAACGAGTGTGTAAGTAATGTGACACTTGTATACACAGTACAATGAACGTGTGTGTAAGTGACGTGACACTTGTATATACAGTGCGATGTAAGTGTGTAAGTAACGTGACACTTGTATATACAGTACGTTGAATGTGCGTGTAAGTAATGAGACACTTGTATACACAGTACGATGTAAATGTGTGTAAGTAATGTGACACTTGTATATACAGTACGATGTAAGTGTGTAAGTAACGTGACACTTGTATATACAGTACGATGAACGTGCGTGTAAGTAATGAGACACTTGTATACACAGTATGATGAACGTGCGTGTAAGTAACGTGACACGTGTATATACAGTACGATGTAAGTGTGTAAGTAATGTGACACTTTTATATATATATTAACTACACTGCTGTACAAATCCCAATACCCCTTTAACAATCTATGCAAATTCACTGACCGTGAAGTAGCTGACAATCATTATTTTTGTATATAGGAATCATATATTTGTGATAGAAATGTCTACAGATTTGTGTTTTCACGGCTAATTTATGCACCACTGCATAATACACATTCTGTTGTGTTTCGTTGTTTCTCCCAATGCTGCCGAAGGAATGACTTTACGTATACCAGACCTAATGTGGTCTGATGTCACCCATTGTGTAATGAGGTCATTGCTTCTGGATCAATCCTGACATGTGTAATGAGGGTCAGTGGCCTGTGTAATGAGGTCAAACACATCTACATAATTAGGTCACACAGGTGTTTGAACAATAGGCCAAGTGTATCTTAAAAAAAACAAAAAAAAAACAAAAATGACCATCTTTCAGCTATTTACTCTCTCTCTGCAGCATCTAAAATGTTTGCTTTTAAGTGGAGGCATGCTTGTCAAGTAGGTCTGTTAATGTCCTATTTTAGGGTTTAGACTTCATGTGTGCCCTACTCAATAATGAACTGTGGTTAGAATTTTGTAACTGTGTACATGATAGGTCCAGATTTGTTAAGTAGTTGAAGACACTGTTTTCAAAGATGTCTTTGTTAAAGGATGCTGTACCGATGGTCTTCCTATGTGTCTAGTTCAGGCCTGACTTGATCACAAAACACATCGATGGGATCTGATACAGCGTGGTCTTCCACTTTCAGAGACGACACGATATCACTGGAGGTTTTATTGCTACCAAGGTCGAGTGCATGGCCGCATTAATGAATCGCTTGAAATACACGCGATTGTAGACTTAAAGTGTACAACAAGTATATGTCCTCAGGTCTGCCAACATGGATGTTGAACTCACCAATTATTAGAAGGTGTTCGTTTGAGCATACTGACAAATCCATTAGCTTAGAGAGATCACTGAGTATTTAAATATTTGATGCAGGTTTTGTCTTAAAGGTAGGAGTGAGGCGATTAACAGGATCAGGCGGTCAGACTCGCTGTCTTGGTTGAGATATCTCGATTGCGTAGATCGTTGCTCATGATGTTGGTCACTGGATTGTCTGGTCCAGACTCGATTATTTACAGACCGCTATGATATAGCTGGAATACTGCTGAAACAACTGCCTGCCAACCAGCCAACCCCAAATGAATCCTGTGAACTTAAGGTATTTCACAAACAGTGAAACTGCCTTGAAATCAAAACTGTTGTCACTCCATAATATTATTGATGAAAAGGAAACAAGTTTGATAATTATGGATCTGAAATATATTATTGATGAAAAGGAAACAAGTTTGATAATTATGGATCTGAAATATATTATTGATGAAAAGGAAACAAGTTTGATAATTATGGATCTGAAATATATTATTGATGAAAAGGAAACAAGTTTGATAATTATGGATCTGAAATATATTATTGATGAAAAGGAAACAAGTTTGATCCCAATATGACAGCAGATATCCAGCGCTTTATGAAGCCATTGCGATAATGTGACATAATATGCACAATTTCCATGAGTTAAGTTTCGCGAAATGTGTACCGGGGGAGAGTTGCATTTTGACATGAAAACATCAAACCTCAGTTAACCAACGACCACTTAATCAAAAGACTTAGCTCCTTCTGTACGGACGTGTGTAGGCGCATTTGTATGAGTGGTGGAACAGTTCGATCATCCAATAATCTTAGATCACGATACGATCTTGTTAAACTTGAAATGGGCAGTTACTGTAGTTGATAACAGCGAACCGCCTGAGGCGATAGGGGTAGCATGCCCTCATTCATAAGTCGGAGCCTGGAAGTATTTCAGTCAGTGAGTGAGTTAAAGTTTTACATCACATCGGCAATAGTGCAGCCATATCATGATGGGAACAAGTTGACTATGACAGTAAAACAATATGTTGATTATCAAATTGTAGGCCAGTGTAGGTATGTGAGAACACGAGTGATGTGATCTGAATTGGATCCAATATATTTCAAAGTTCGTATTCTTGGATCTAAGAATACCATTTGGTGCCGTGGGGAAAATACCCATAAAGGATAGGAATACGTTGGTTAAACTGTCAGGAACAGAGCGTTATTTGTTTTACGTGCACCAAATAACAAAAAATTGTTCAGATTACTATGAAGATGGATATCGCCATCTTTGGGTATGCTTTATACAGAACCGTTAGTGATAAGAACTATTGTAAGCAATGTGATACATTGACATCCAGGAATCACGTTTTCCTTTTCTCACCGTAGTGTAATAAGCAGCTTAGGATTATACACTGGACAATCATCATCTGCATGCACATCCAAAATTTGGTCAAAGTCAGGTGGCTGAAGTGTGTTTGGGTGGGGCTAGAAATCGTGAACAGATCCCAATACACAACCAAGAGCACGTTTTTGACAACGTGTTTTCAGTATTACCTGCTATGGCAACCTGAAAACGATCATCTTAATTCCAAGATGCCAAACGGCTGGATAGATCGATCCTTCATGTATCCTGATCGAAATTGATCGCCATACTAAATATGGAAGTTATTGTGTCAACACTTACAGAGATACATGTTGTTTTAAGTCGTTCTGATCACAGAATGCATTTCTACAGTTGTCAATCCAATGTGGCTACCAAACGACGCAACTGTTGATAAGCATCTAAGAACATGAAATGTTCATGGTCTGATACTGATGCTTCATGCTAATTTTTGGAGACTTCCAGGGCAGATCCTTCTGAGTTACTGATTGTGGAAGATGTCTATCCCTCCAAACTGTCAAATTGTCTTTAAACACCTTCAATCCAATATGGTCCCGAAATCAGGTGAATTTGCATACGACCAAGAACAGAATCCAAAGACGACATCAGAACAAGCTTGTTCCAGTCTTTGACCTGTCAAGTCTCCTTTGGAACAAATCGTGAGGAAGTCTTTGAAAGGGTTTGAAGAGAACTTTGACCCAGAAGTAGGACTTCAATATGGCGGCCATTGAAGGCACTTGTGGGCACTTTTTGTGCTCAGTGTGCAGAGTAGTTCCTGGATACAAAGTATGTAAGCTCTGGAGCTGATAGTGCGAGTTCAGCACATTTTGCGAGACAAGCCATCAGAAAACTGATGAAAAACACCAGCAATTTGGAAGCCATTGCAGTTTTTGGTATTACTGGTATTGAAGTAGATTTTCTGGAATTAATTTTGAATTATCTTATATAGTCCTTGAGTCTAGACCCTTGAGATTTTCCCTGACACCCTTCCTTCATGGCAAGGGCACCTCCTTCATGATTTTTTTAAAGGCGTCTGACCAGTGGTTCTTGAGTTCTGCTTGGAAAAAAACTGAGCCATTGAACCCTAAATATTTTATTAAAATATTATTTAGAAATTCTTTTCATAAGCTAACAGCCTTTGCAATTGCTACTTTGGGTTGTGGAAATATCTTAACTTACAGGAGACAGAAGTTTGAATGTTGTATAACCATTTCTGCGTGTGTATAGACTAATCGAAAATCCCATTGATCGACCCGACAATGTGACATCATCGATATATACATTGTCGCTTAGGCGCACAATTTTTACAGACGGGTCGATAATATCAAGGCAACATATTAATATTAAACCCTGAAAATGTCATGTCGTACTTTGTAACCCGTGCAATATATCATTGCAGATGGAAGATGAAGGAGCAGTATATCACTTCCAAATGCTGATACTGAGCCAGCTATCGGCTTTCCTGGGTGAGTTTGTCGGTTGAAAATATATCTGTTAAACAGTCACATGTACTTTTCGAATGTAATTATAACTACACCAGTTCTTGAAATATCAATGAGGTAAAATAATGATCGTGTGTATGACGTTTCCTGGCTTATATATTTGTTTATACTATGTTGCAGTTCTGAGTGCCAGAAGTGAACCAATATGTCCACCTGGAACATACGGAGACGATTGTGACAATAAACTGTCCTGAACGCTGCAACATATATCCTGCTGGCGGCCTTGTTTACTGTGACAAGTCTAGTGGACGCTGTCTTGAAGGATGTATTCCAGGCTGGTATTATGATACGTGCAACATGCAGTGCAGCCAGAACTGTATCAACAACACCTGTAATCACAAAGGTGGAGCATGCACATTGGGATGTAAAGATGGCAATACAGGAACGTTTTGTGAAGGTATGAATAAAACAAATGTAAATGTAGCTGAACATATGACATATGTGTACCCCATTCTCAAAATATCTCAGTATCTGTATAAATATTTTGTTGTCCATTTTGTTTTGATTTTTCTGTAGATCTGCTCATGCTGAGATCACTGGATTGTCCAGTTCCAGACTCGATTATTTATAGACCGCCGTTCTATAGCTGGAATATTGCTGAGTGCAGCGTAAAACTAAACTCATTTACTCATTTTTCTGTAGAGCACACTTGCCAATACACTTGCCATTTACAGTTTGTTTTTCTTTAAATAGAGTAGTTATGTAAAAAGTTAATCTGTTAAAAGTTTATCTGTTTATCTATTCCTCACTCTGTCGTGGACTTGGCACGTTTTGTTGATGTGCAGAGAAGGCTTGTCAGTATCCTTTTTAATGTTGAATTAACGAACAGGAAAGTGCAGTTCAGATAAATTGAACGAACTACATGAGTGTCTTTTCAGTAATGTGAAAAATACCTACCTTTTTATATTTTTGAGAATAACCGCCACAAGTAGTAATACTTTACCAGGATTATCTGTATACAGTTACAGAGGATGGACACGCAAGAAAGGCAAAAGAGAGCTCAGAACCAACCTGGGCAACAATTGGTTCTGGTGTCGCTGCTGGTGTATTGCTATTATTCATACTAATGGGCGTATGGTATAGATGGTACGAATGCATATACTAACATATTCCTGACTGTTTGATTAGCAGGCAAATGATAGTCCTAGCCAAAAATAGTTTATGCTCTGAGCGCCTGGGTTCCTTTGAAGTCAAACCCTGTGTGTAGGCTGGGTGTCTAGCATTTGGTATAGAGACAACACAAATCGTCATCTGCATCTGCAAACGTATTGCTTTTTATAAACACCATGTGCCGAAATATGTGTCAACAAAACATATGTTGCAATAGCGAATATTATTGTGTTAGACTGTCTCAAGTATTTTCTGGGAAATCGGTCTTTTTATATAAATGATTGCAAACATTTCATATCTTTAAGACTCTGGCGCTAAAGATCCGTTAACTGGTGAATAGGCACTTCAGCAACCCATTCCTGTCATACAAGCAGCGACTATGCTTGTCGTTAGGGATCGGGGTGGTCAGGCTCGCTGACTTGGTTGACACATGTCATCGGTTCCCAATTGCGCAGATCTCTGCTCATGCTGTTGATAACTGGATTGTCTTTTCTCCAGACTCGATTATTTACAGACCGCCGCCATATAGCTGGAATATTGCTGAGTGCGGCGTACAACTAAACTCACTCACTCACTCACCTTATCTTTAAAATAGCAGAATAGTGCAGTGGCATGTAGTATTTTCTAGTACAAGTATTTAATTTGTTTGATTAGTTTTTTTCTTTCCTTTCCAGTCGACAGAAACAATGTAAGTGTGACATTGACATACATTAATACTTGTTTAAATGATATATTATTTAACCTGGAAGGTAAATGCTAACTACTTTTTGTCTATTCATTTGTCTAACCTCAAGCCAAATGTGACCACACTGTCTGGAATTAAAAACCCATGATAAAGTATTCACACTGACTCTAAAACATTATATGAATGTTATATTCTGGAGATACGAGTATATATGAATGACAAATATTTCTCTTTTGTTTACAAGACAGAGGATACAGACAAGATATTCTTGGATTACTTTTCTTGCTCTATGTAAACAACTATAGTCACATTAATGATATTTGTATCCTAGAAACGTCCTGCTTGTTAATGTGTCAGATCAATAAGCATAATGCTGTTTGGAACTCTTTGATGGTGAAACTTTCCAATTAAAGCATATGGTTGTAACACTTGATACTATGAAACGTTAACGTCACACAACCAGTTTCGAGGCGAAATGTAAAATAGCGATCATTCGCGGACAGGACACCCAGTGATTTCAAAAGGGTTAGTGTGTGTTTCCTGTCATACTGTCTTCCTATAGGGTGTATCCCCGCAATGCAACGGCGGCATGAAACCAGGCAGTCATGTCATGGACAGACTGATTTTGTTGAAACTATAAACGATTCGTCAGACGCAGGGGTTAATAAATGACCTAATCAGATGTGGTCGACCATGTAACACCAACTATTCTAGGTAAACGTATTGTTTTATTGATGGGTGCCACCGGATGGGCAGGATACACCAGACTTTCGCCAACCCCTGGTGTCATCAATGTTTCATAGTAATTCATAAACACATACATATTTACGTTTGTTAAAAGTCGCATTTTTCTGCTCGCTACTATAAATAGTCATGACATAGTCACACTGTATCGACTCTGATTTTAGCAGATTTACAGCCCATTTCATAGTTCTCCTGTCTGTTACAAATAGTAAACTATCTGTGATCCTATATATATTATTTACATTTTGTATCCACTTTGACAAGCATGCAGCATTATATTAGCAGTTTTGAATATAATGTGTACATGTCACGCCAAAAAGAACGTAAGATCAAAAAGAACGTAAGATAAAAACAAATGATTCCGAGTCACATGTTATCCTATCTTATGTCTTCTCAGATGGAGAGAGGGAACCACTGTTGGGAGGTAAGAACAAAACTCACTTACAAATTGCTCTTTGATTTATGAAGTGTTGTTTGTTGTTTAATGCCCAACACAGCACTATTCAGGCTATGTGGCGGCAGTCTGGAAATAATAGAGTCGATCTACGATATTGGGATACGATTGCAGGTGTCAACCAAATCAGTGAGACTGACCACCTGATCCTGTTACTCGTCTCATGACAAGCATGGTTTGTTTAAGACCGATTCTAACCCGGATTTAAACGATTTCCTAACCTCACTCCCAAACGTTTAAAGTCTAAGAAAACTTCTTTCGTACCTATATGTATCTACGAATGAAGAGTGTCTATTTCGTCGTCAATTATTTATTCCACATGTCTTCACTTCCGTTGTTGTCAGTAGCGTAAGTTTAATACTGAAATTAAAGCGGGTATGAAGCGTACTTGGAGACAAACTTATGAGTTCAAAGCGGCAAGTTCACTAGAAAGTGGTAATGATGTAGACACAATGTTAATTTAAAGATAATCCTGTTTAAACGCACTTTTAGTACCGTCTTAAATCCAGTTGGTTAAGGACAAATACTGAAATTTACCAAGTCATTGTTCGAGAGTTTGAAAAATATTCCTTTTTTCAGTTGGCAATCCCTTTTGTTATGTAATGTCGTCATAGAACGGTGGGTGACGTTCGGCGGAAAAGCAAACCGGTTTGGAGAAATATACTAGCCACATAAAGAAACTGTGCATTGTCAAAATATTATCCAAGTTGATAAGTACGATAACAATGTCAAAGGTACATATAAACGTTAATGGAGGGATCATGAGACCATAACAAGTCGGGAGAATTTCAATTGAAAAGTCAATTACAATGACGTCACCAGTCCACAAGCGGGACAGGGGGTCAAAGAACTATGTCACAAGCTCAATAACGGGTATGTCCACCATCGGCATTGAGAACAGCAGTACATCGACGACGCATCAAACGTGCAAGGAAGGCTTGTGGGATGTCACGCCAGGTTCTCTGTTGCAAGGTCAAGGACGTTATCTGGCGGATGAGGAAGACGGCATAGACGTCGATCCATCTCGTTCCAAACTTGCTCTATCCGGGAGAGATCCGGTGAATTTGCAGGCCAAGGCAGTAAGTCAACGTTGTGGTGTTGCAAGAAATCCATATAGCAACCCATGCCGTATGAGGGCGGGCGTTGTCCTGTTGAAATGTTAACCCAGGGCCATGGCGTTGCAGAAAAGGAATTGCCACAGGTAGAAGAATCTGATCCCTGCAGCCCACACCAGTTAAGTTGCCCTGAACAATCACCACAGGAGTTCTTTGGCGTGCTGTTATTCCACCCCAAATCATCACGGAACCACCACCAAAGCGATTCCTCTCCAATACACAGGCCTGTGCATAACGTTCTCCCACGCATCTATGGGCATGTTGACGTCCACCACTATGGGAAATGTTAAACCTGGACTCATCTGTAAAAAACATTTCTCTTCCAAAACAAGGGTCTGCGGACATGATTTCGGCACCACATTCGGCGAGCTTGTCGATGACGTTGTGTCAGGATAGGCCGTATGGCGAGACGTCGTGGTCTGATCCCGTGATGACGTAAACGTTGTCTAACTATGTTGGGGTGGAACCTGTCCTGGGATGGTTCGGGCAGTCATCACTGTAGTCTGAAACCTGTGGCGAAGATGGGTCACCCTTATCCATATGTCCTGTCTTGGTGTTGTTACACGTGGACGTCCAGAACGTGGCCGATCGATGACGTCATTTGTGTTCTGGTAGCGTCTCACCAGTGCAGAAATGGTGCTCCGGTGGCAGTGGAAATGTGCAGCCACTTGTCGTTTAGACATTCCCCTACGGACCATCCAAATGGGCTCATGACGTTGTGCAGACGTGAGCCTTGGCATGCTATGCGTTTCAATAGCCGTTTAATTTTTCGAACGATCGCAAGGGCAGGGGTTGAGCTTTCCAAAGTGACAGTATTGTGTGGCATACATTTGCTCTGTTTCTCTTTCCCGG